CCCCAAAACCCCAAAACCCCAAAACCCCATATAGTTTAAATTCACATTTAATCGCTAAATTATAAAATCAAATATAAACTTAACAAAATTATTGGTATTAAAATGCTGCAATCAGCTATGGATGACCTCAAATGTCCCAAATGTTTAATCAGATAATCTAACGACCTTAACTCCCTGCTGAATTCGAATGAACCTCTAGTTAAGTTTGCTCACTCAATCAAATGCCCTCATTATTTGTAATTATTTCAACTTTAACTAGACACTAGATGCATTAACTGCTTAAATGATCTCTACAGAACTGTGTCTCAAAAGCAACAGATTAAGTGCTATACTTGCCAAACCTTCCTAAAAAAATCAGATTATACTGAGTAGACTATTGAGGAGTATTAATTCGATAGAGATTTCAAAATCAGAGATAAGATAATGAAAATGTAAAGTTAATATCATTAGCATTTATAATAGTTTATTTATAGTTACAACAAAAAGCGGATCGATTTTCCATCCTTAGACCAATACTATCAGTACCTAGAAGATGTAGAAGATAAAAGTAAGATTAATAGACCATAGCATGGCTGATTATCCTTAATTATTTTAATAGTTTAGAAACTGATAGATGGAGAAGAAGTAGAAAGAATAGATAAAGAGATATTGGAATACAAAAAAAGAAATAAAGACTAGATATCTATAGCTAATCTGAAAAAAGAGGAGCAGTTAAAGGCATTGCAACTTATGATCAAAATAGAGAATCAAAAACTAAATCCATTTTCTTATCGAGACAATCTAGACTCATTAGAATTGGAGAAGGCAAAATAGCTGATAACTGGATTCAAACTTGATGACATAGATTATTTAGGTGAAACTTAAGCCCAGATCGACGATTAAGTACAAATGCTAATAGATCAGCAAAGTGCCCAGAATCCATCTGGCTAGAACCAACAATAGCAGCCAAAATTTATTGAACCTTATCTATACACTTTGTATAGGACTGAAATGCCAAGAGAAATAGAGTATCAAAAAATGCCATCTACCAATTTAGAATTATAAAGGAAGGCAGGAGGGGGTTTGATGAGACTGCCAAGAACTGAAACATATAAACTAGCTAATCTACACAATGAAAGAGCAGCTAAAATTTTTAAATCAGGACTATTTTGAAATCTAAGAGATGATTAAGTTCCTCCGATATAATTAGAGTGTAATTAATGAATTAAATGGTGAATTATGTGAAGTTTTATTATGAAATTAATATTTAGATCCTTTTAATATATTGTGTTAACTCATTATTTGCAATTTTAAAAGGACACAAATAATCGATATTATACTATAATAAACTTTCTATAAGTATTCAAATTAGGATCCGTCATGTATCCACAGTTTCCTAACCCAAATGGATCTCTGAAGTAGGAATTTCAAGATCCTAGGTCTCACTTTGATTCTATTAGGCACTATCTTATTGGATGGGCATTATAGTTGCTGTTGTTCCATCTGGAGTCTAGAGCAGTAAGACAGTATTATGGCCCAATTTGATGTTTACAAATTCTTTTCCGGTTACCATATTAAATCCACTAGGTTTTGAAGTTTGGTTCTTGGAGGAATTACTTCCATTATTTTTCTTGAACTACGATGCAGAATCAATTTGATGAATTACAGGTTAGCTTCCAGTTTGGAACTAGGCAGTTGTACCTAGAACTCCTCCACCACCTCCATATATTAGATCACTATCTTGACTCTCGAAAATAATGTTAGAATTTCTGTTCGACATTAGGATATTGCTCATCATCATTCTTGCTGAACTATCTCTCATTTTGTGGATAAAAGAAGGAGTCCGGTGAGAAGCACCTCCATCGTCCATTAGCTAGCTGCTATTTACTACCGACTATAGTGCATGACTTCCGAACCTGCTTGAACCTGGACCTCTCATTGTTTGCCCATTATAACCCAAATCGTTTTTTATTTTTTCTAATTTTATTCTATTAAAGTATGCATGACCGTAATTGTGTACTTAGTTTATGGATTCCTGAGATTATTTGGACATAATAAGATTTCTAACTTTATGAATATAATTGGATCCTATAGAGCCTTCTATCCTTTCAGGATCTTATGTCTAGTGTCTTTTAAAAATTTAGTCATTATCTGTTCTTATCAATATTTTGCTTGAATTCTTGCTTTAAGGGGACTTCTGGGCTTCAAATTCTAATTTCTTGACTCTCATGAATACATTATCAAAATCACCCTCCTCGTACTAATATTCTTCAAAATCTTGTATCAATAAATTTGAGTTTTGATTCATTCTTTAATTCTTATTTGCACTGCTTTTACTTCCGCTTTAGCTGCTATTATTAATGATAAAAATTTGGTTTTATAACTCAACTTTTTGACAGTTCTTATCTAGTATGATATCGTATTAACTATATTAATTTTAAGCAGCAGGCTCACTGCTGTTCAACTACTAAGGATTACCAACGTTATTAGTTATATTGTGAGGATTTTAATCTGTCACAGAATAAATGTAGTTTTTGTTCTGCGAGTCATAAAGTTACTAATCTATTAGCATTCTCTAATATTCAAGACTACTTCTTATTTTGTTTGTGATCATCTCACTATTCTTGTTTTGAGCTTTTGTGAACTAACTTTGCTGTCTCGTGTAATTCCTGAGTAGGGATATATCTCCACTCACAATGTAAAGTTTCCTGTTAAGCCGCCCGATCTTAATGATTTCCTGCAAGTTTAAAAAACTTAGTAGCTACAACAAAATTTGATGATGCTATCTCTTATCCCTTTCTATTATCATTAGCTGGATATGAGCATTAGGGTCATGAGGATTAATATCACTGTAATATTCATATTTGCTAAGTATAATCTAGGCGTGAGTCTTCTTGAGACTACTTTGTTTATTAATCTGAAAGGTGTTTTGCTCTAAGGAAGGACTATTATGAAAATGCTATGTTTAGAACTTAGTTGTCTCAATTATTTGGTAATTAAAGGTTAGATGAATAGGCAAACGATCATTTTATGTATTCTGAATTTAAGCAGCTTTGCTTCCAATAGCCGCAACATCGTCAGCAGATTCATCGTTAGTACTGTCTTTTTAATAGGGGTACTTCCTGTGTTACTACTTGCTACCCATACAAAACCCATCAAATATTGACTTTTTGTTTGCTGGCTATATTATAATTTTCTCTTTTTTAGAAGAACAAGTTCCCATAGATTAAATAAGAGTTATTATATGTTCTACTTTTAATTACTGAGTATTTAATTTCTTCTCTTTTTAATAAGAAAAACCTATTTCCTTCAATTTTAAATTTACGAATGCTTAATTCCTTAAACATACTTTCAATTTCGTCTGAAGGGGTTTTGGGGTTTTGGGGTTTTGGGGTTTTGGGG